GGCCGCGATATCTCACCACGGAAACTACCGTAAGATTAATCGAATTTCATCAATTTTTCTAGCTCTTCCTCAGAAAAAATAATTACTCGTTGAAAATCGATAAATCTTACGGTAGCAATTAAATTTATACGGTAGTTTTCGTGGTGAGATATCGGGGCCGTGTCGGATCTTCGGCCAGCACTTGCTTTGACTACAAACTACAAAAACGTAAGCAGCGCACTGTTCAAAATCAATGCGCATCAGACTCTGATTTTTCAATTATTTTTTTTTTATTTTAAATTCCCACCAAATTTTTTTCAGATAGGACTAGCGGGAATTTGAAATTTGAAAAATAAAAAACATTCAAAAATCAGAGTCTGATGTGCAGGTTATACGGTAGCAAAACGCGTGCGCTGCTTGCGTTTTTGAAGTTTGTAGCAAAAAAAATTCAAGAACCCCTACCTTCAATCTAAAAACGAACAGCGAATTCTTATAATATTTGATCGATTCGTAGGAGAATGGAACTTCCGGATGAACCAACTCAAGTAAGTCAGTGACTCGAGTCTCCTGACGCATTGCGTTCGGGTAGGTTTTCTGCAAATTTGAATTTGTTCGTTTCCCGGGTATTTTTTTCAGGAAAAAACCCGGATCAGAGCCAAAAACTCGATAGATACCTTGATAAAATTTCCAAAATGCTCCAGGAAAAGATCCGGGTCGAAGCAGATATGATAAGGGAAGGCTTGGGCAAAATCGGAAGAGGAGATTTCGTAGATTCCCTAAAAGATTGGATTTTGTGGTTTTCAATCAAAAATTATTTTCCTAGAAACTGAACTTCTGCGGTTTCAGGGTAATACCGCTTGTCTCGGATTCTGTAATGTGGCTCATCCGCTACTTCAGGTTCAGAGCTCAATATCTCAGTTGCCTTTGAAGCTTGCATAAAATGATCAACTAGTAAAATGTGTAAAATGCTTTGCTTAATATTTTTTTAGTTGACAACTTTTTGATAACTTTGAAAACAACCGAGATATTCTGCTCTGAACATATAGTGCTAAATGCACCATGTTGTTCAGAGCACTATATGTTCAGAACAGCATATCTCGGCTGTCTTTACCGCTGGCAAAAAATGATTTACTAGTAAAATGTTTAAAATTTTGTGCTTAACATTTCTTTAGTTGATGAATTTTTGATAACTTCAAAGGCAACCGAGATATACTGCTCTGAACATGCATCACCCTATTACGGTATTGCATAGATCCTTGAGCTTCCCAAAAAACCCCCAGAAGTAGGTCTAAAACCGCAAATAGCCAAAAAGAAAAATAATAACATTCTTCACAAACGGTTTTAGACCTACTTCATTCAAATTAATTTCCATTCGAGACCCATTAGCAGTCAATGATTTCCGCCGCCTCTTCTGCCTCTCTGGATCTAATCTTAACGATGAGAGTCGACGATGAATGAATAATACCGTTGATAAATCAATTTGTGAGTCGGCTTTCGACGAGATTGACTTCTGTTGCACACTATTTGCATTTTCGATTTGGGTGATGACGAAGACGACGTGTTCAGTCACGAAGGCATCGAGGTGCTCCTGTTTTCTCTCCTGTACTTTCATCACGACCTCAGTGTCGTAGATACGACGCGCAACTTCACGAACTACTCCTGGAAATTTATTTCTCAGCAAAGCGCATTTGCATACCACACTGTTGACTACCATGTGTATAGACACAGGAAGGAAAAATAGGGGGCTACTGCACCCTGTTATGTGCAGAGCAGGATATCTCGGTTGCCATTAGAGCTCTCAAAAATTAGTCAATTGAAGAAATGTTAAACAAAACATTTTAACCATTTTACTAGTTGACTACTTTTTGATAGCCTTAAAGACAACCGAGATATACCAATTTGAACAAAACACATCAAATGCCGCAGGGTCCATGGAGTGCAGCATGTTCAAAGCAGCATATCTCGGTTGCCTTGAAAGCTATCAAAAAGTGATCAACTAAAGAAATGTTGAGCAAAGCATTTTAAACATTTTTCTAGTTAAATATTTTTTGATAGCTCTAAAGACAACCGAGATATGCTGCTCTGGACATACAGTACTGATTTTTCTCTGCATGAAGCTCGATGGCCTAGCGGATATCGGACTTTTCTTTGAAACTATTACCACAAGTTCAATTCCCATCAGGGTCAATTATTTTTTGCTTTTTTGTAAAACCATTCAAAGAGCTTTTAGGACCACGTAGCAACTTCCAGATACTGCATGCAGTTCAAGCAAGTGCGCTCTATAGAAATTGCGGCTTCGCGACATTTCGAAACCGAGACATTTCGAAACCGTCGAAAATTAGGCTCGGAATTTTCAAAAATTCTCTTTTTTAATCGATTTTCTGGAAAATTAGAAAAAAAAATAAATTTCAAACTTTTTTTGAAAAAAAAATTCCGAAAAACTTTTTTTTCCAAAAAAGTTCCTAATTTTATTTAGTTCTAATTTTCCAAAAAAAAAAAAAAACGATTAAAATCGCATCGAAAAATTCGGAAATTCCGAGCCTAATTTTCCACGGTTTCGAAATGTCTGGTTTCGAAACGTCTAGTTGCGAAGTGTCGCGGAGCCCAGCTAGCAGCCTCCACTTGCTGCCTACCGTTCAAGCAAGTGCGCTCCATAGAAACTGCCATACCTTTAACAATCGGATACAGACCACTTCTCTTCGAATAATAATGCAACAAGAGTGTCCCATCAGCCTGTACATCACATCGAAATGACGGACCACGTAGCTTGGTTTTGTACACGACGTGATCAATGAAATAGTGAAGAGAGTCCAATGAATCCAGGAATCCCTGGAATGGCCAGGGGTGATGAAATACATAACAAATAATTTATTCATTAGGTACCTCAAGATCTGGAGCCATTGCTCTCAACAACTCATCCCAACCGGTCTCCATTGTAAATTGGATCAAAAATCCACCATAGGCCTCCCAGATCTCTTCGATCGGGATACCGATCACATTGGCCATTGAGTTGACCAGACGAAGGGTCTCATCGTCATTGTAGTAGTGAGCGATTTCACTTTCGGTACCCAATTCGAATTTTGCCATGTGCCTAGAGGAAAAAATTGCTTCAAAGAAAAAATTTTGGGCCGTAAATCTTGTAATAGCAACTCATTTTACCGCGCACAACCGGCTGCGAGACATGAACGGGAATTTAGGCTCAACTTATGTT